ACATACAGTAACCTACATCATAGCATACCATACAATTTTAGCATAGACGCAGTAGCTAGCTTGAGTGTCGATAGCTATGTATCAGTACATATTACACAGGTTGGGCGGCCGTGTGGGTGGCGGGGCACACATAGACAATTGGCATTTGGTGTTGCGTGTCCGTCGACGTGTTTTCTGTGTGTGCGTGGGCTGTGTCGCACACATCACACAGAGTGGCTCACTGACAGCACTCACATTTTTCCTCACGCCACCACAGCACACACACGACACACACGCACCACACACACACACACACACACACACACACACACACACACACACACACACACACACACACCCGCCACCCAGACACACAACACCCCACACACCACAGCACACACACCACACGCACTCACCGCACGCACACGCAACAACGCACGCAACGGCACGGCACGCACAGCGATATATATATATATATATATATATATATATTATATATATATAAGAGAGAGAGAGAGAGAGAGAGAGAGAGAGAGAGAGATAGATAAATAGATAGATAGATAGATAGATAGATAGATAGTTAGACATACAGTGCGAGACGGACGAACGGACATACGACGGACGGACAGAACGGACAGACATACAAGACAGACAGAACAGACAGACAGAGCGCCAGACAGATTGACAGATAGACAGGTTGATAGATAGATAGATAGATTACATAGATAGATAGATAGATACATATACACATATTATATTATTAATAGATAGATAGATAGATAAATATATAGATAGATAGATAGATAGAATAGATAGATAGATAGATAGATACGATAGATAGATAGATAGATAGATAGATAGATGAATCGATAGGTGGATAGATGCGATATTGGTAAAAACGTCCTAGAATAACGCGTATGGTTCTCGGTGCAGGATACAGGATATAGTCTCCGATACACTACAGTATTTTATGGCCGATATTCATCTGATTTTCACATGTTTTGGTAGACGTATACTGAGTCTTTGTAACTGGCATAATATTACGGAAAGTTCTCATAATAGCTAAAACAAATTCAGAACTGTGTGACTCTTTGTAAGTATTTGTTGTTCTTTACACTACAGTACTATGTATCTCTTGTGGCTGTCATTGTCATTGTCTATGTACTTGGATCTCGTGTTTTACTTGTACGCCTTGTCATTAGTATGTCGCACGAGCATGCGCAGTAGCATGCGCGTTCATGATATGGATGATAATAAATCGATGTTATCTGGTTATCATTATTTATATGGTTCTTTTATATATGATGTTTTTGACGTATTTGAAAGCTGGGGTGAGTGTTGGGAATCGATCTCTTATACGAAAAGAATTAATTGGGTAAATGCCGGCGCCCACAATATAAAAAACGACACGTTTATTTATACACGTTTTACTTTAATACGTTTACCTTTACACAAGTATATAAGAAAAGCAATATACGAAGAGGGATTCGAACCCGATTTCATAGATTGCAGTTTAGCGTTCTAACCGCTGTACTAAAACAAAATACGAATAGATTCACGTCGTTTAACATAGACGAATACGTCCTTACGTACATCACTTTCTTACTCCCTCTTCGCGGATGGTATGGCCCACGACTCAGTCAAGCATGGAAAAACATTGCAGGTAAATGGCCCGTATTTTAGCCGAATGTTTTCACTCCTCGAGGCACAGAAAATGTTAATTTTACGCCTATAATACAGCGCGGCCGCGCGCGTGCGACCCAACACCGCGGTGTGCGCGCTCGGTCGCGTGTATGTATTGTGTTGTGTTGTGTAGCTGTTAACAAACGCGTATTATAGCCGTATATCCACATTTTGTGCCTCGATGGATGAAAAATGTTTTCGGCTGAAATGCGTCATTTACGCTCAAAGTTTTTTCATGCTTGACTAGTCTTGGCGATATTATTTGGAGGAGGGGGAGGAAAGACTGAGGGGCACCATGCATGACTGAAAAATGCTATGTTGAATTTTGACATCGGGCCGCCATCTAGTGTGAAAAATAATTATAAAGCGCATATATGAATAACCGCAGATGAATATATTACGGACGCGACAATTTGCCCCTCTCTTTCAAATGGTATCGCCACAACCATCAAAGCATGGAGAAAACTTTGGCAGGTAAATGACCGAATTTCAGCCGAAACCTTTTCATTCCTTGAGGCACAAAATGTGAATTTACGCCTTAATACACGCGCACGCGTGCGTGCGACCAATACCCGCGTGTGCGCGCGCCGGTCGCGTGTATATGTATGTGTTTTTGTGACTGCAAACACGCGTATTATAGGCCATAAATCCACTTTTTGTGCAATGGGTGAAAAAGTTCAGCTCGAAACGCAGCCATATGGCTCGTGAAAATTTTTCATGCTTGAGTGTTGTGGGGCGATACCATTTGGAAGAGGGGGGAAGAAAAGACTGAGGGAAGGGAGCGAGTTTTCGCGTGTGTCCCGTGCGGTGGGTGTGTGCGCGCAGGGGGTGCTTGCGAGCGTGCTGTGGCGCTGTGTTATTTTTTGTCTGCGCGTGTGTGTATTTACCGATAAGAGGCAGAAGGCAAGAGGAAGAGAAAAGAGGGAGTGGTTAAGGTAGGGAGGAATGAAGAGGGAGACGCGTACACGCACGCACGCCACTCTCTCTCGCGCAATTTTTCTCTCTTTCTCGGACGCTTATATATATATATACTCTTCTCTCTCCGTTTTTCCCTCTTCGCTCACTCCCCTCTATCGATGATAAGCTTACGACAACGATAGCACGGTAAACCTTAACCAGGCAAATGGCCGTATTTGAGCTAAAACATTTCTACCCGCCTCCAAAGCGCCCTAAATAACTGCCATAAAACCAAAGAACAAACAGAACTTTATTTTACCACCGACTTATTTTTCCTTTCTTTGTAAGTGTATTACGTACAAGCACTCAGATATATAATTGCAGGAGTAGATAGATAGGTAGGCAGGAGTAGATAGGATAGTATTTATCTACTCCTGATAATTGTATACGCTGACGAGATGCAGATTGTAAAATGGAAGACAAGATGAGAGCCAGCCAGCCTTCTATCCACCGTCCTCGACTACACGTACAAACACGCACATGCAAACGTAAAGCTTGTTTAATTAACATGCCCTTACAGAGTATGTACAATAATGAATACCTATGTTGTCAAGTGGTTTCTACACTTATTCTTAGCTTTATGAATGTAAGCAGGCTTTACATATGTGAGTTCATGAATTTCAAAAAAACTTTCCTTGTTGAAAAAAATAATAGAATTTTAACGTGAGCATAACAACTGACAAGGCAAGACAACTAAAATCAAACCTCATCGATGCGATGCTGTCTTAATGCTGTCGCAATATACAACACGCTGTCCTTCCAATATTCATTTCGTTATACATGCCATGACTTACACAAAACTTTAACTGAAGTCCCGAGAAAGTGATAATTGTCAACTGTCACCAGTTGCAAAGGCTGCACCGATCGCATATCAAGAATAAGCAATACACTGAGACAGTGCTAAATTACTATTGCTACAACAAACAAACAACATATGCTTTGTTGAAAGTAACAGCGAAAAGCAGAGAGGCACAGCAAGAGATGGATAACGTTAGGTTAGATGAATAAACAATTACATTAAAATGAGGACGACTATCGAGTCATGAATAACTCGAATTTCTCATTACTTTTGCACATGGAAGATGCATGCGTTACAACAAATAATTAATACATTTTCATTACATGCAAAATTCAAGCATCACGCTAAACTGTAAGACAAAATTACACTTGGCTGTAACATTTATGTACAATTGTACAATGTAAACAAACATTGTACATTAACAATGTAACATTTTATGTAGGCAAAAAACAACAAAAAGACAACATTCCGCCTCCCAAACAGTCACACACACGGTCACGGTTATGTTGATCGAGTTACTTGTTCGTGATCGACCAGGATCACGTTCAGTCATATAGCTGCACCGACACCTACTGCTGCTGCGATGTAGGCCTACTCCCTTACCACCGGACACTGGGAGAGGCCAGGTGCTCCAGAGAGTAGGATCATGGCATACGTACTCATAGTGGGATTCCTGTGTGCATACATGCGTGCGTTCGTACATGCGCGTGCGTGCGTGCATGTGTGCGTAATGATAGTACTGTTAGCATTCCGGTATATATGCATCATATACAAGATCATTGCATGTTTCTAATTGTAGATGTGGAGTGATAGTCAGGCTTTACACATAATTCATATCGGCTCAGCTGGAATGCACATGTATACAAAAGACATATCTGGTTACCTTGGATGTATATGTATATAATATATATGATTATATATATATATATCCTATTTGGTTAGAATTCTAATTTATACTTAATTAGTGTACAATAGAGGACTATTGATCGCATCTGCCGATTTCATCTCTCCTCAGAGCGTGCATCGATGCGACTTCGTCCACCTCGTCCCGTCGCCGCCGCTGCCCGAGTCGGTCGCCATGGCGACGTACATCGACGCGCTGCTGCCGACGATTGCCACGCTCCCGCGCAACGCCTTCCACGTCGTCGTCTTCTCGCTGCTGCTCGACTACCTGCCGTCGCCCGCTCCCAGGTGGCGCTGCTGCGTGACGGGGGGCTGCTCGTCATCGCCACGCCCGACTCGAAGCACGTGAACCGCAACGCACCGCTACTGGCAATGCTCTACATACCGCAGGACTCGAACGCCGACGCCGCCGACACAAAACGCGAAGAAGACGAGCGAATATAAATATCAAATTTAATAATCGACACTTTTTCAATCACGTGAATAGAATACGATTGCTCGCCAATCATGGATAATTTTGTTCATTCAGGGTGCTAAGGATTTTGCAAGTTATTTTGTTATCGAACATAAACACCATTCCATTAAAACATGTGAACACGTCAGTAACGTAAACTAACCTAACGACGACACTCGAATTTCACAAGTTTCCCCATTGGGCTGTACGAACTTGACAACAAACAATTTACGACAGAAATGCAATTTTCATATGGTTGGGGGCTCAAAATTTGTTTCGATACACTAGTGTTCTGAAACACAAACTGCCTGCGTATTACGGCGTAGGCGAACAGCAATTTCCTCGCAGAATGCACCCGAGTAAACGATAAATTCCCGAACGTACATTTTTCGCACAAACTGCACACTCCGGCCACAGTCCCTGCTCCACAGGGTGCAAATGCACATTTATGCTTGCGATCAAAGAACTGTATTATTTTGCACCACTGCTATTATAATATATAAAAAATTATTACGTATGGCAAAAGCATTAATATAGATTAGTTCTGTCTGGTACGACCAGCTTGATGTAGGAATAAGGTAATGAGATATGCTGTAAACAACTCGGCAGTTCCGGCAGAATAATTACAATTGCAATGGACTATTGTGTCCCACCCTTCACCGTCACTATGTTTAGCCAAGAAACATAACATGTTTTATTTCAGCGATTGAGATATCCTTTACAGATATCCAAGTACATCTATGTATTATTACTTGCCTTTCGGCTACATTTGTGCAAAGCAACACAATGCAAGCGTGCAGTATTTGGAAATTTTTCCGGCGACTATTTGTCATCTTTCGATCGGTTTTCCTCTTTTCTGCAACCAAGAGTCGGCTGCCTGTGTGCTTGCTCTCACGCAATCTCTCCAACATCGTGGTTGTAATCTCGAAGACCTCGCCATGTCCTAGTGCTGTTAGATGCTGCTGTCCTTTATTCTTCTTTCTTGGAGGTCGAGGCGCCCTGAACCGCTTGCAGTTCATGCTGTGAATAAAGAAATCACGATAGAGGTTAGTTAGCTCTAGCGCTCACTCTCATTCCCTCAAGCACGCTCTCTCTCTCGCTCCGGCATCGCTCCTTCTCTCTCCTCTCTTCTCTCTCTCATCTCTCTCTCTCTCCTCTCTCTCTCTCTTCTCTCTCTCTCCTCCTCTCATCTTCTCTCTCCTCTCTCTCTCTCGTCTCTCTCTCTCTCTCTCTCTCTTCTCTCTCTCTCCTCTCTCTTCTCTCTCTCTCTCCTCTCTCTCTCTCTCTCTCTCTCTCTCGTCTCTCTCTCTCTCTCGCTCGTCTCTCTCTCTCTCTCTCCTCTCTCTCTCTCTCTCTCCTCTCTCTCTCATCTCTCTCTCATCTCTCTCTCTCTCTCTCTCTCTCTCTCTCTCTCTCTCTCTCTCTCTCTCTCGTCTCTCTCTCTCTGCTCTCTCTCTCCTCTCTCTCCTCTCTCTCTCTCTCTCTTTGCTCTGTCTCTCTCTCTCTCCTCTCTCTCTCTCTCTCTCTCTCTCTCTCTCTCTGTCTGCCCTCTCTCTCTCTGTCTCTCGTCTCCTCTCTTCTTCTCCTCTTCTCTCTCTCTCTCCTCTCTCTCTCTCTCCACTCTCTCTCTCTCTGGCTAACATCCTCTCTCTCTCTTCTCCTCTCTCTCTCTCTCTCTCCTCTCTCTCTCTCTCTCTCTGCTCTCATCTCTCTCTTCTCTTCTCTTCTCTCTCTCTCTCTCTCTCTCTCTCTTCTCCTCTCTTCTCTCTCTCTCTCTCTCATCTCTCTCTCTCGTCGTCTCTCTCTCTCTTCTCTCTCTCTCTCTCTCTCTCTCTCTCTCTCTCTCCCCCTCTTTCTTTCTCTCTCTCTCTCTCTCTCTCTCTCGCCTCGTTCTCTGTGTCTTGTCTCTAACCTTTCAAACTCTCTCTCTCTCTCTCTCTTCCCCCCTTCACGCTCTCTTCCTCTCGCTCCCACATCTTCCACTCTGCGGCAGACACTACGTGCTATACCTGTGTTTTCTCGTGCTCCTGCATGAGTCGATCGTACTCGGCCGAGACGCTGGCCGCCTGCTGCTTCATAGCACTCCGATCCTTCTCTGCTATCAGCGTATCTGCAGAAAAACAGCGCCGTCGAGCCACTTAACAATCTCGATTAAAATATCCAGGGAATTTTTTTCGTCGTTTAGAGAACGAAAATAGCGTACGCACAGATGCGCACGCAATCGCAGTGGAGATGCATGGAGTTACTCTATGGATTACGCGCGCATTGCACGAAAAAGTGTAGTGTGGTACGCGCGTGTGCATGAGTTAGCTTTGGTTGAGGCTTCTTAAACTTAAAGTGATTACGTCACAAATTTCTAGCACCATCAAGTAGTATATTTGTGTGTAATTTGTACAAATTAAAATGTATAAAAATACAATTAGTGTTTCTGTTTACTTTTCATGCTTATATACCTTCTTTATATGCCCTAATTTGCCGGTGAAAAAAAGAGAGACGCCAGTATCTGAACAGTACTGGGAGAATAGTGTTAGACAACAGAAATTACCAAATCGTCTAGATTTTTGCAAATTTAACCAACGTAAAAACATTTTTATCAGGTGAGCGTTTAAGGATATATTTTAGTAACGTTTGTTCTTACTTTTAATGAAAAAAAATGGCAATTTTTTTTTACAAATTTTACCATGACAAATTCGTGACGTAGTCAATTTAACCTAAACCTGTAGCCTGATGACAATGAACAACAAGTTAATACAATATATATAGAGATATATAGTGTTTCCCCTGCATTGACACGAGCGAGGCGGGCCGCTTCGCTCAAATTCTCAGCCGGCACGCAAAAATTTGTCCAAAACACCGCCTCGCTGACGAAAATCACTGTTCTTCCATAGAACAGTGCTTCGAATGCACCAAATTGCACCATTTTTTCACACATTTTCTAGGGGGCATGTCCCCGGCGCCCCCTAGCTGGGCGAGCACCGGCGGTGCATCCTTTGCGAGGACCTCGAAACGTGCAAACACGCCAAAAAATATTTACCACCTCACAGACCTTTTTGGCCAGGGGAAATTGTATATATATATATATATACTAGCTGCGGGTACTTGCTGCGCTGGGTAAAATCGTGCTACTAATTCATACTACTATACTAATAATGGGACACAGTAGGAACATTGGGTAAACATCGACAATGACATTGCAC